TTCTCTGAAGTAATTTTTTTTTACTTTAAATATAGAAAAATCAGTTTAGGCAGTGAAGATTTGTCTAAAAAATCTTTTTGATTGTTTGGTCATAACATCCTGCAGTCTACATGAAAAAAAAAAAAAACAGTAGCTATGCTGCAAAATATCCATTCACCTGTAAAGTAACCTGTTAATACAAATGACGAATCAATCACACTGTAGTACCAACAGGTTGGCACAGAAAACCAGTTGCTGTTGGATCCTCAACAGTGGGAAAACATGTTTTATTCAGAGATTTCAGTGATGTGTCTCTGTGATTATAAGACGGGCTTTTCGAAGCATGCTGAGAATTGCTTTCGGGATTTTCATACACAACCATCTCAAAGTTGAACAGACGATCACCTAAGAAAGATATTATAAATAATAAATGAGCAGTAGTTATATGCACACAGATGCCCTGTTGATGCCAGAAGAGAATTGGAAAACTACTTTGAAATTACAGAAAACCAACAGCAGCCAAATTAACCAGTGGTTACCAGTTATGTGGAATACAATCTCTGATTGTTTAATTAATTGAATCTTGAAGCAGATGACGAATAGCAGCACAACACCACTGAGGGTGCCATATTGGGGAAGCGATGGCTGTGGGTATAAGCCTCCGCTGGAACATTAAAAAAGCAGAGTAAGATTATGATCTAAATATCTTGAATGCATAAATTCCTCCTTGTTCAGATTAATTGTGGTAGGATAATAATGTGATTTGAATATATATTGAATATATTTTCTTGTCACACTTTAAGAATGCTGGAGATTATTTAAATACTACAACCTTATTCATTTTTAAAGTTGACCATATTGATCTCCTGAGGGTTAGTTTCAACAGGTTGCTCTGCAATGTCACAAAGCTAACGTAATCTAAATGCCTGACAACTAGTTTTGTCCACTCCAATGGTATCACCAATCTGTTATACTCAGTTTGATGGAATTAGATACTTTGTGACATTCGAATGAGAGATTTGCACCATGGTTGTACAGCTAACATATCTACAACAACTATGTCAGTTGTCATTTCCAAAATATTCATGTTGGGAATGTTTTGGATACCTTTTTGAATCCTGACATGAAGAACTGAGGTTGTTCTAAAGGTAAGAAATGTACAATCGTGTTCTAACAAGGTGTATACGAAAGAGTTGCAGTTGAGTATAAATCTTTTTTGTGTAAAAAATATCCGATTTAAAACTTAATGTAATATCAAAAGTAATTAAGTTTGCAATAATCCATCACTTTAAACCAACTATGTTTTTACCTAGTGTGAACAGTGTTAAAAGGGGCTTTTAACAGCTTCCAGCCACTATCAAGTCATAGTTTTAAAAACAATTGGGGTTTAACTAAAACATAAACCATTGGCCAGGCCAGAAAGCTTACCTGTACACCTGCCACTTTCTTTTTGTTGATTGTCAACTTTCAAGTTCAAAAATATATTGCCGATGACCTAATTATTTCATTTAGACATATCTAAAATGTACAGGACACTGAGCTTTGAGGTCAGGAGTTTGGCACCCCTATTCTGCTGTATTTCTGCTGAATTGGGAAGCGTTCTTATGGAAGAGGTCACAAACAGAAGCATGGCTGTTATTTATCGGTGTCCATGTTGTCTGTTTGTTGGCAGCCCTAAAAAATATTTCATCTATACATTATCTTCTTAACAAATATTAACAGAAAAAGCATAATTCTTGACTGCTGAACGAAATCTTAAATCATGCTCAATTAAGAGCTCTTCTAAACAACCTTCATCTTAAGCACACTACACAACATTCTGCCACCTCAGAAGGCTGGTCTGAGTTACTGCTCCATAAATAGACATCTGTTTCTTTCCATACGCCATTGAAGTTTATCTCATTGTCACAAAAGAACCCATGCAGTAATAAAAAATGCAGCCAAAACAAACTTCAAATATGTGCATCACTATCCTCAAACAAGAGTAGTGGAACAAATAAGTGAAAAGGTTTTGTAGGCTATTGCAAATTGTGCAGTCAAAACCTTTAGCCAGAAATTCCCTCTATTAGCTATGTAAAAGCTTTGCAGGTTTGTAAACTGGTTTCTGCTAGCTGGAATGGCAATGGTCATGCTATCCATTTAATGGAAAACATGCGTGCAGTTAGCAGACAGACAGAGGCACTGAGCGGAAAAAGATGGTACCCTAATGGGGAGGTGAAAGGCAACGGCCAATGTGATGATAGCAGCTTCATGCGGAGCAGAAGTGTATCAGGGCCCTCGCCTTTGAACTGGTGAGCCAGCTAATTGAAACAGCATTGCCAGGGCATTGGCTTCAAGATCTGGATCACATTTGAGTCTTTGCTTTTATTCAATTTGGTTTCAGCACAGGGGCGCAGCCCGTGCTTTTCTCTCCACATGGCAATAAGTCATGCCCTCGTCTTTTACCCTCGACGTGTTGCCCAGCTGTGTCCCCCGGGGGCCCACAGTGCAGAGGCCCATGGAGTTCGGAGGGATTCAGATGAGGTCTTGAGAAAATGCAGCCTGCCTGCCACTGAGCCCCTTATGGTACTTCTTCACGCCTCTCACCCTAGACTTGACCCTCTATCTTCTCCTGAGCTCTTCTCTCAGGCACACACACTTCTTTACTCTCAGACTCAAGATTTACTGTTAAGAGAAATGGTTGTCAGGAGGTTTGGACCGTGCACTTTCTAATTCAAACAAATGCGGCGCTGAGGTCAGAGAATTATCACAGAGCCACAAGGTGTTTCAGATCACTCACAAGTGTTGAGTGTTAGGTTGATAGAGGGGGGAGAGCAAGGGAGAGACACAGTGTTTTCTGTTGGCTATTGCACTGTTCTGGAAATCTCTGAAGCGTGGGGCATGGAAATAAATAATCAAATAAAGCGATAAATAAGCAAATAGACTGATAAAATGCAGGTTTCTTATCACTAACAACGATCAAAGCAAATCGAGGAGATCTCAGCTGTGCTGTTGGAACTTCACTTCTCATTTCACAGAAGGGTGGTCAAACTGCATGCGTAGCTGTAATCAGTGTCCTACAAGCCCTGGTTTTGTGGTTGAGGTGTATGGTAATCTGGATAAAATAAACAGAAAATGCAGAAGCATCAGGCAATCTGTGGTCGAATCTGTGTTTCAAGTTTCCTTATGGTTCTTTTTTGATGTAATACATTACAAGTTTATGACTGAATTCTGGTGTAGAATTACAGCCATCTGCAAAATAGCGTGGTGCTGATCCATTTTATCTTTAAAACAGCCATGACCCATGGAGACGTTGACTCAAATAGACTGCTGAAGTGTGATGTGTTGTCTAGTTCCAAGAATTTAGCAGCAGACGCAATAAGTCCATTAAGTTGAGAAGTGGAGCCGTCATCAACTATTCGTGTTTATCCTCTCAAATGATCCCCAATTAGTTGCTCTTCAAACTATTGCCAAATCACAATTTCTTTGACTGCTGAAAGAGGCAACATTCAGGCAATATAATGTGTGCTCTACAAAAAAGGACGGATAGATGCTATATAACAAAATAACATCCATATCACTGGCAGAGCTGAATTTCCTATCACAATATATGCATTTCAATTCACGATTTTGAGGTTTCAATTTATTTCTGGTAACATATATATGTAATGTATTCTTTATGGAATGGTATAAGCAAACATGGGTGTGTTTTAAAACATCTTCCATATAGCAAAATATAAAAAAACAAAAAACAAAACAAACAAAAAAACTTTAGGCCTCAAAACTGAAATCATTCAGTGATTGTGATACAGTGTGATACAAATGCATGGAACGTATTTAATACTTTCAATATTAATATTGAACAACTGAAAACTCATCTATTGGAAAAAGTGTTGCTCCCACATTCTATAGAATAATTGCATATAACATCTTACAAATTCATCTATATACATTTCCAAGGTTATGACTTATAGGTAAGCTGAAAAACAAATTTCAGTTACTCTAGAAATCCAGATAACTAATTAGACCAACGATTTCTGTTTTTATTCACATAATTTTAAGACCACACAGTTATTGCATCTGCTGTCACATAGAAGACTGCTGCTATAAAAGCTGGCTACTGTGTGTATGTAACCATAGTAATGGAAAGTTGAGTTGAAAAACTATAGTACAAAAAAAGTTTTCAAGCAACAGTTTAGCAAATTCAGTCTTGGGAGAAACATGTAGCACAGTCTGTTAAACGTCAGTTAAAATTTGGATGGTGTAGGTTCTAGTTAGAGCTTAAAACAGCTTTACAGCCTGAATACATCATATTCTGAGTATCAAGTTACTCCCTAACCCATGGCAATATCAGTAGTGCCATGCCTTTACTGAAATAAAATAAAAGACTCTCAATTCTATTGCCTTTGTGCTGCTTTGACACACTTTTTGTTTCCATGTAACTTTCTGTTATGTTTACATTTACCTTTATGTGAACAACTCAACTTATTTAAATGTGATATATTGTGGATTTTCTGTAGGTTTTAGTGACTGCAGCCTTTGTACAATTCCCAGGAAAATAATTTTGTGGACAAAGGAGATAGACATGGTCCAAGAGATACTACATATAGTTACATCCAGGACATACATTTTTACTATTCATGCTTAACAACAATTCTGGACCAAAGGCATTGTCACAAGTTACTAACATTGGCTAATAAAAGGAAATACTGTAGTTGTCTCTGTTGCTTTTGCAATATTTTTTCCCACAATTTTCATTCCATTCATAATAGTTTTTCCTTAATATATTAGTCTATACAGTAGCTCTGTCAGCTTCTGAAGAAATAATGTTTTTTTTTCACCCCTGACTTGCCAAAAAAAAAAAAAAGTTTTACTAAATGCAATTTTTTTTATATTAGAAATTAATGAAAAACACCTGTGAATATTCTAGAGTGGCTAACTATAGTTCTTAACATGATTCCACCTGTGATGTAGCTGCACCATGTGAAGTCCAGATTGTTTTCCATGCAGAGGGAAACTGGGATTTGGAGAGGATCGCCGTGCGATTGAGGGAGGGACTTGAAGCGCGCATAATATCCCTTCCTCCGCGGGACTTGCTGTAAGCAGGTACAGCATCTCTGCAGTCCGCCGCTCAGCTGTCATCCTCAGCTGTCCAGTGCTTCCAGCCTCTATAGAAAACTTCAAGCACTGCAATCGGTAAGTCGGATGTTTTTAAAATTCTTTTTAAGCAAAGCTTAAGTGTTTGGATGAGGTTGTGGTCTTATCTGGACTCCGGGAAAAGTGCTTCCTGTAAAGTTTTTCTTTTCTCCCGTTAGGAATTCTGATTGATTCAAAGGGGGGCGTTTTGCAACTACTTTCCTCATTTTTCAAATTACAATGTAATAACCTAAAAAATAAAATAAAACACTTGACTTTTTCATAAACTCCTCGATGTTATTATGATGATCAGGATCTCAGCTGTAGTCTAAAAAAAAAAGCAAAACTCTAAATTAATCTGCACAGATTCCTTTTTTTTATTCCAAAATTGCCTCGATTTAAAAACAAAACAAGGTGAGTCAAGAACCTTAATGGCAGAACTGATTTGAGTTTTATTCACTCAGTGTATGCCCCCCCCCCCCCCCCCCCCATCTGAAACAAGCGCATCTGACTCTTTGAGCTGCTGAACATCTGCAAGCATTGAACGCTCAGTCTGCAAGCAGCTGCCACAGAGCCTAGAAATGCCAAATTGCTTAACATATGAATGTGAGGAAGATGGGGACCTGTGTTGCAAAATGACACTGCCCGTTTCCCCTTCAATGTACCAACCCTGCAGCATTGCATCTAGTTAAGTGAGAAGTAAAATGTGTGGGAGCGAGTTGAGGAGGAGAGGAAAAGGGAAAGACGGGAGGAAGGGGAGGACTAGGAGGAAGAAGTGGGTTTGATGAAAGGAGGTGATAGCATAATGGGAAGCGAGAGACAGAGGGGAAGTGATGGGAATGGTAGATCAGTGTAGGATGGAATCATTTATTTAAATAATGATCCAGCATAATGTTGTTCTTTTTAAAGCCTCAAGTGAGTAAATGAGGTTACAGCTTGTAGAGACCCACTTTAAATCCCTCACCCCCCCATCCCTACACACAAAACACAGCACATACTACAGACTTGTACACACCAAGTGTAAACAATTGTGTGATAGATTGCTCATCCTACCCTGCCTGGGTTGTTTGCATGTTGATCCTTTCAGCAGGCCCTGCTTCTTCTGTCTGCCGTGTCCGTGATGAGTTACTACATGGATCCAGTTTCTTCCTACCCGGCCCTTCACCCCTGTGACCGTCTGGGCGCAACGGTAGGACCTCAGTCGTAAATTATCTCTGTGTTAGTGCTACCTACCACGCAGCTGGCTTGCAGTGAGAGGGATTGAACAGTGTGTGTGTGTGTCAGGATCTAACTTTGCAGGAATGTGTGCAGAAGCCCCTGTCTGTGTTTTGGCAACTCTGGATTCCATCAGTATATAAGGTGCACACTCTTTTTGAAAGGTTCCATCCACCAGCATTGCATTAAAACATTTTTTTTCTTTTCTGTGTGTACACAATGTTCTAATGATTACGTTTACAATTAGGAAACATTTCTTGAACAGGACAGCTTTTTTCCTTCTTGGTTGCACAACCACCACTGCACCATGCGCTCATGTTTAGCAAGTAATGTTGTAAATCACCTGACCTGCAGGCCTCTGAAGCTGACACCAAACAATCAGACAACGTCTGTCGGATCACACCTTTCTCAGGCAAAGCCAGCTATCTCTTAGGAAGAGCACTGTCTTCTTTCAGTATCCAAAATGAGAGTGCTAAACAGAGTCAGAGACAGCAGTAGCAAGGAACATTTGAATTCCTGTCAGGTGGGCATTTGAAGGGTGAAGGCCAAGGAGCAGCAAAATAAATGCATCCATTTGTATGCAGAGCACCAGCACATTAGGATAATAGACTGAGGTTACATGCAAATGGCAACCCCACCCTGGGCTGATAGACAAAACGGAAGGATGCAGCTACAGTCAACCTAATTGGCTCAGGTGGTGAGGCTTGCCTTTGAAATTGAGAGGACTCTATACCATGGCTGCTTGGTCAAAAGGTGAAGCCATGTCACTTTGGTGACTTTGTTCTCTGAAATTTACATAAATCTTGAAAGAAAAAAAAATAAATAGTGGGTTGTATTTATATCCCTTTCATGCATGAATTATGATAGTATATGTTATGATTTTTATACCAAGTGTTTTTAAAAAACATTTTCATAAATTTTTTTTAAAAATATACTTTCTTTAGGGAGTTGGTAACATGTCCACTTGGGTGGACAATGCGCATTTGTGCAACTGATATAATCTTGTTTTGTTTTGTTTTAAAGAAAACTATTGTTACTTGATGTCCCCATATTTTTTTACCTGCAAGGATCGCCTAGAATAGAAGGAATGAGCAGATATTCCTCTCCCTCACAACCCATGTGCTCCTCTGTCGGCCATTTTTTTTTTTGAGGAAAAAAAAGTCACTTGCAAAGGCTGACAAGTAGGTGGCAGTTTGACAAGTGGCAGGATGATACATTAGCATCCACTGTAGTAACATATGTGCAAATGTGACATTAAAACATGTTTATTTAAGAGAAAACAACCATTTAATAACTGTCCACTGTAGTGACCACTATGCATGAAAGGGATATTATGTTCAATGTTTGAAAAAGAAGTAACTGTTGGGTCCTGAAGACCTAGAAACTACCAAAAGTTGTGGAAAAAAACGCTTCTGCTAATTTGTAAAATGCCATTAGGGTAATTTTCAGCCAAAATTATTGGTTAAATTTCGCACAAGAATATGCATAATCCTTCAAAGTGACACACCATTACTAAAGATTACTTTTATACAGCTGAGGTTTAGTTGCATGCCCCAAGCCTTGGTTGAAGATTTATTTTCATAGAAACAGAGACAGATCAATCAACTCTATAAAGAAAACAGCAGACTGCCCTTCATTTGGTATATAAATGATAGTCAGTGGTTTGTCAGGCACACCTATATATATTGTTTTTGTAGTTATTGGAAAGTGTTAGACATTGTTAACAAGCAGATCTAAACTGGCAAGAGAACATTATCCACAGTGAAAGAGGCTCTACAGTGACATGGGTTAAAGAGCTAATTGGAAAAGAAGAAATCCTTAATTTAAAAGCAACAAAAAAGCCAACTTTCAGCTTGCAAATGCATTCAGGGACAAATACATTTCTTTTTAGAAAGCAACAAAAGTGAATTTTTAAACTTTATTTCATATTAACTTTCTTACATTTGCATATCAAAGGGGGAAGCCTGAAAGCCCAATCATGAAATCTTAACTCTGCAGAACATAGAGGACTGCATAATGTCACGCAGTTGTTTCACTACCAGTTGGATAACACACTTCAAATAACAATATGTGGAAATAGTTAAGTAACATCTTAGGACATTAACCAAGCAGTTGAAATATAGTCACAAGTTACTTCAAATTGTCAATGTCCCTAAACATAGCTTAAAACTATTTGAAAAGTGTCTTTAAAGCCATAAAGTGAATATTTTGGAAAACCACTGAAAGCCTTCAATCAAAATTTCAATTATTGAAAAAAATGCAGGTGATCAAACCAATTGTTAAACCCGCCTAAAAGAGATTAAAAATGATTGACCCAAGTAAGTTAATGCATTTAGTACTAAAGAAGTGCATGACGACCTTTGGCTTTCAAAATAAAATAAAACATTGTCTGCAAAGACATAATAAACTTTGAATTGTCAGTTAAAAAAAAAAGAATTCTGGTTTTCCGAACAGACCTGAAAAAGCATAACCCCTTGTTCCTCAGTTGCATTGCAAATAGAAGCCTTTCTAGTCAATTTGGTAAGCCTTATTGACTTCTTGGTACATGACATGATGGACAGTTTCCCTTCTTCATCTACCAGAAATATGGATTGTGTATATTCATCACTGTTGTCAGAGCAAGATGTGCCAATCTCTCTCTCTCAAAAAAAAAAAAAAGAGTTGAACCGGAAGTCTTGAAAAAAGTAACGTGAATCTGGTACTTTTTCAAAATAAGAGGTAATGCATGGACGAATCCTACATGCATAGAATGTTTGCTGCCACAGGACATTTTTTTTCCAAGAATGGTGCAGTGGACAGTGAACGTAAAACAACACTGCTTTAAGATAAATACAGTTTTCATTGTTGTAGAATATGCATAATTTATCAATAGCTACGTTTACATGCGCAAAATTTCCCCGATCCGATCCAAATCTTGGTTGATCGGAAATTCAAAATCTCCGTTTACATGGACACTAAATGAAATGATCCGATCATGACGTGTGTATACATGTACCAAGCGTTGGATTAGATTAAATCTTTTAAGCATGCGCAGAACTTCCTGCCAAACTTAGCAGTTCTGTCTGCGTCTGGTTTTTGGGAGGCCTGACAAACGATGCGCTCGGAGCGAGCGGAAAGAAAAAAGGAGAGAGGAGGAAAAAAGCGCTTGGCAGCGAAATGTACGAGAGAATGAGCGATTGAACCGGCGTGGGAGAGCGAGTGGGCTGTGGAGAGAGAAAAGAGGAAGAGGAGGAGGATAAATTCCTGCTTCCTGCAGCTTTAAATGAACTTGAGTGTATAAGTCGGCGTTCCTAGACTCCCCCCGCCATGTTGTTCACAGCGAGAGCGAGAGCGACCGCTGGTTTCCTGTTGTTGACAAGGCGGAAAAACGTCACGCTGACGTCGCACACATGCGCAGTGAAGATTATTTTACTCTTCAGATCCGAATGGGTGTTTACATGGACGCCAATCGGAATGGCGATCGGCAAAAACCACCTCTCTCATTCGGAATTAAATTTAGATCCGATCGGACCGAATCGGATTAGAATCTTCAGTCTGACATGTTTACATGAAACATTTTTGATCTGATCAGGCCTTCAATCCGATTAGTTGTGTCCATGTAAACGTAGCCACTGTTACAAGATGAAAAAAAATAATTGCAGCAATGTCATTATGTTTATATCTTAAAGTTAATTTCTGTCTTTTTTTTCCACGCTGAGGATCCTAAGTCCAGCCACATACATGTTAAAACAGCAGTTTAGGCATTTTTAATGACTTATAAATGAGCAGGATTTTAATGAGCACTACTGGATCACTGAAAGAGAGGATTCCTTCATCATTTTAAAGTTATATTCCCTAAAGTTGATGCAACTAAGTTAGAATTTAAGTTTAACCACTTATCTTTAAATCTGGATCTTATAATGATATCTTCGATTTTGGTTTCATGAAAAGCCTTTAACCTTTCACCATAAATTCACATTTGCAGTGTTAAGATCAAAGTAGGGTTGTCACGACATACACAGCAAGATATCAATACAAAATAATTTTTATACCATGTGGAGGAAAATTTTAAAATAATGACAGGAATAAAACATATTTTTATTAAAGAGGCATTTCAGAATTTTCTAATGATACTGCATTCTGTGGTCAAAGCACAGAACTGTAGCACTCTTCTCATTCTCGTAGCTGGCGCTTGTTCTTAACAAGTTTTTTTTTCTTTTTTAACTTTTTTCACCTTATGTGGCATTGTCATTAGTGTCTGAGTTGAGCTGGATGCCAGTTACTTCACAAACTCCATTTTTCTGTAAAGCTTTAAATGTTTGTTATGTTGGACCCATTTAACATGGTGTCTTGATGTCTTGATGTCGCATTCACCGAATGGCGTGGGAATATATTCATGGAAAATAGGCTACACGCTTATAGATGCATCGATCTACTGAGGTGCTCATCAAACTATGTTTTAGTCATAAAGGGCTGAGTAAAACAGCTATTTTAAAGATATTTTTCAGTAAAAACATGCATAATGCCTCTTGAAAAACTTGTCTTCCTCATAACTTACTTTCTCAAAATAATTACAGAGGTTAGTTTTGTAGATAAATAAACCAAATACAACACAATTTAACAATAATATAGGGTTGTCTAAATTATTAATCTTTTACTGTACAATCATCCATCCATTTTCCATCATGCTTATTCCAAGTTGGGTCGTGATGGGTGCTGGTGCCTATCTCCAGCTGTGCACGGGCGAGAGGTTAGGTGCACCCTGGACAGGTCGCCAGTCCATCGCAGGGCAACAAAGTGACAAACAGGACTAACAACCATTCACGCACACTCACACCTAAGGAGAATTTAGAGAAGCCAATTAACCTAACTGTCATGTTTTTGGACTGTGGGAGGAAGCCGGAGTACCCGGAGAGAACCCACGCATGCTCAGGGAGAACATGCAAACTTCATGCAGAAAGACCTCGGGCTGGGAATCGAACCAAGAACCTTCTTGCTGTGCTGAGCCACCCAAATTATCTAGAAAAGGATCTAGAAATCTAAATTTAACAGTGGCAAAAATGTGCAAACAAGACCTGTCTCCAGTATCGATGCTAATCCAAATTAGTGTTTGAATATCGATACTTTTCTTATTCTCAATATTTTTTACAACCCACATCGTATTACACAGTGTTAGTTTATGTCATCATAGCTGACTAAGTAAGAAAAACATTTTTTGGAGGTTGAAATACAGAGTAAAGATGGCTCAAACCCATTATGAAGCCAAAAAAGGTAGTAAACTGAAATGTTTCTGATTGCAATATCAGATCTTTTCCGATGCTGGATGTTTACTCTCTGAAATCAATTTCTTTGGACACACTGTACCATAGAAAAGACAATGGATTTAACATAGTTTGACAGGAGTAGAACAGTGGGATGTGAATCAAAAGATCCCAAAACTCAAAAGAAATACCTGGCTTGAACTAAAACTGTAACCACCACAATACAGGGGCGTCTCTAGGTTTAAGAGACAAGGGTGGCTCAGCCCCTAGAAGATAATGCGCGCGCGCAGCGCGCGCCGGATTTTTTCAGTGCACCTGCTAAGGCGTTGTCTAAGACAAGGGTGTAACTTTGTGTTGAAAGTTGGTGGGGACGGCTCATAAGGAAAGGGAGCTACCTGCGCGACGCCTTTTTTTTTTTGTTGGAAAGGATAAAGCCAAAAAAATGCGAATAACATTTATCAATTTAATGCTTACAGTTGAAAACATAACTGTTACAATATTCACTTATATATTTTGTGCAAAAAATATCACATAAATCTAAACAGACAGTACAAATCAAAGAAATCAAATAAATATATCAATTTTGTAGAACATTTATTGACAGTCAATTTTGGGTCACTTTTTAAAATTAATTTACTTTTAAACCAGGACTCGGACAAGATCTTATGGGGCCTTAAGCAGAATATGATTAAGCAACTCCGTCTTTCTGTCAAGAACATCCACTAGCAGGGTATCCAGGGGGGGATTTACCATTAGGCAATACTAGGCAGTTGCCCAGGGCCCCAAGTTCTGGGGGCCCCATAAAACTCTGTTTCCATGTATGGTTAATACAACTAATCCTTATTTGTGCACATTAATTATGTTTTTGCTAAAAATCCTTTGGCTAAAATGCCATCAGAATGCTGATAAATAGAGAGGAAAAAGGGACAAGAAGAGAGGGACAAAACCTAGAACAAATAATGGATGTCTATTCTATTAACATTTCTCTATCTGTAGAATGGGTCTGTTTTATGGGTTTACTTCTCAGGGGGCCCCCTGCCTGTCTTTGCCTAGGGCCCCAAATTTCCTAAATCCGCCCCTGAGGGTATCAATACTGATTTGATAGAATCTGGGAGAGCGGACCATGTTCAACCATCCATTTTCTTCAACCTTATCCCTCAGTGGGATCAGGAGGTGCTGGTGCATATCTCCAGCCAGGTTCTGGGTGAGAGGTGGGATCACCCTGGACAGGTCACCAGTCTGTCGCAGTATGTTCAACCAGCTTAAAAGTAATCGGTAATCAGATTTATTATTTGCACTTTTACTAAGTGAACTTTCTAACTCCCTTAAATCTGAAATTCCAATGCAAAAATTGTTTAAAGCTTTTATCTTTGGACCCCCTGCAGAGTGACGTCACACCTGCAAGATCCTATCCTTACCTTCCTGCTAGATTGCAAAAAGCAGCTTGCTCATGAGTTGTCAACTTAACACGCTAAATCTTAAATGTACCTGTACATATAAAAGAAAAAGGGGCGCAGTGCTTGCTACTGAATGGCAACACTATCAAAGTCAGGAAAAAGTTTTAAGTAAAGCCGGGATTAAAACAGTAGCTATAAGAAGCTTCAAATAAAAGGTGTTCTTTATGTTCAACCTAAACACCAACTCCGATAGACCATCAGTAGAGCAGGTGTTTAAATTAATCAATCACTGCTGTGAAAGCTTATAGCAGTGAAAGCTAATATACCACAGCCATCACTTAATTAACGCAAAATAAACAACCCTCTAAAAACGGAAAACTGTAATGGACTGAAAGTCCTGTTTTTTATGTGGGAAATTATTTGCGTGTGTTTTAGTATAATTCTGATATATTGGCGCTGTTGTCTGTTTCTATGGCAACGATACTGAATGTAGTGTAGCTTAGAGACCTGCATGGGTCTAGTTTTACCAACCCGCACCCGCCCGAACCCGTTAGGATGACTACCGAACCCGACCCGTCACCCGCGGATATCTTCAATTCAAATATGGGGAGAGGTTGGAGGGGGGTGATGGGGAGAAAGCGAGAGGCAACAGATTCTTTTTTCTGAGTTTTTTTGTCGGGGTTTGTGGACGGTGAGCAGCGGGGAGAACTTTTTTTTATTTTCCTTCTGAGGAGCGGCATGAATGGGATTTTAATCAGATATACACAGCACCGAAAGCAAAATACGTGTACAAAATATTGGTGGGGACATGTCCACACCAGTCCTTAAGGAAGTTACGCCTATGATTGTTCAGATTAACTTGTCTTCTTTATGGCTTTTATTCGGTGCTTTACTGCATTTGTTTTGGGAAAATATGAGGAAAAAATAAATACAGAAAAAAATATATATTTTTTAAAATCGCAAAATAATTATAGGTTGGCTAATGCCAAAGAAAGCCACCCTTAAATAGGTCTAACGACGCTTATGATATTGAAGATGAAATGTGTGTCACATGTAAGAAATGGTTTAAATTCAGTAAAGAAATCCAGCCAAAGAAGCGCAGTCTAATGGTGATTGATTATTTGTAGTTCCTGATTCTCTACAAAGATATCCCTCGTCACAGTGACATGTCCTTTTTTTTTTTTTTTTACCATTATCAGGCCAAAATATCCAACAACTGCACAAACACAAGTAAACTTAAACATTCTTTTTAAACATAAGCCCATCGTGCAATAAAAAAATAACAGAAATACTAAAAAAATAACTGTTAGCAATGAATAGAGATTAAACAAAGAAAATAGAAGATACCAAATAATCCAAAATAGCCCCTATTAAATGTTGTATTCATCAGCATCATGTATCCTCTGTTTGGAAGAAGTGTAAAATATTGTTACAGGTAAAAAAAAAAAAAAGTTTAAATTCTTTGATAGTTGCTTTTCATTTTATCTGCAGCCAGTAAAAACATTTTCAATCTTGACTTTTTAAGCAGAATTTTAAAACCATTGCATTGTAGTCCCTTAACACAATCCCACGTGTTTCCTACCAACTTCTATTGGGCAAATTATTCCCTGCATATCCCACCAACAGTTCTACTCATAATTAAGGTAAAAGAAGAAAAAACAAACAAACACATGATTCAAAAAGCTGTGTTAACTGGAGACATATTGGAGTCAATTTACAGATGCAGCAGAGTATTCACGTAGTTGGACTCTATATAGTCTTCTCAAACCAACAAAAACAGCATTTAAAGTTGTCCTACACTCACACTGACCAAGAGATATTTTGGTTTTAATTTTATCATGCTTTGCATCTTTGCGCAATCTATGAGATCTCCCATGTAGCTCCTTCCGTGCTCATCAAACTTTCCCCACTTGCTGACAAACTCGATAGAAGATAGCAGTGCTCCATGCAAATCTCTCAAAGCTGCCCTCCCTGATCCTCTGACCGCATTAGCCGTCTGTGAAGCAGGATGATAAATGCTGCTCGACCTAAACAGAGGCCGCTTATCAGATCCCTCTGTCTGCCAGCCTGTCAGATACACAGATGATATACAACATTTGGGAGGCTTGCATTGTACTTAGTGTTTTTGTTTTGTTTTGTTAGTCAAATATTGCAAATAAAAATAGAATATATATATATATATATATATATGTATGTATGTGTGTGTGTGTATCTATATTGCAAGGTCAAAACTAAAAAAGAAAGCACAAACTATCTTAGTTATGTAATTCTTTAAAGGAATTCAATAGTTTATTCCAAAATGACAAAAAAAAAAAAAAAACTTTTGCTTTTGTTTGTTTTCAAATGAAGGTCTAGATTTGCTAAAAATGGCCTTGTGGCTATCTCCCTCCCTCCTCCTTTTGTATCCAAACAGAATTCAATATCTCTTCTGGCTCCGGTGTCAAGTGCTGACTTTAGACTTCCCCTCGTTTAGTTCAGCTTCTTGCAATAACATTTCTGTGATAAGCTGCAGTAAAAACAAAATAAAAAAAACACACACAGCAAAGATAAACCTGATGAGTCAAATTTAGATGCAAGGCTTATCTGAACATGAAGAAAAAATTGTAGCTTTCAAAATCTAAGGGTTACTGACAGAAATCAACCACTCAAATCATCCTGTTTCTAGCTTTACAGCAGCTAAGCTCACATATGACTGAAAAAAATAAAACCTCTTAATCAGAATTAATTTCTCTATCAAACCTTTATTGAGAATGATAAAAAAACAAGCCTCATAATTACAGTGACCAGTGTTTGAAAACTGTTCTTGAGCAAATTTCCTGTGCAGATGACTCAAACTGCAATAAAAATGTATAGATGTGAGTTAACTTTGGCACATGTGTCCGCTATCTGTCTCCAGAGACAAAGTGGGGGAGTAGCATTGGGACCTCAGAACCAGCTCCCAGGCGTGGTCCACCCTCAGCAGCAGTTTTACCCCTCACAGCCCATTCATCCGCATGACATACCGCTACAGGAGGTCCCAGAGGGCCATGACATGTGTCCTACAGGTAAGAAATGAAAAAAAAATTATGTCACTCTGAACATGCAAGCTGCAGGTAACAGTGAAAAAACTCTAATAGCATATAAATTTGATGATCCACAATGATAGCTTTAGAAAGGTTACATATGAGGTTCACAAAAGGCCAATCTAAAGCGCCAAAAAGAGTCCTGGAAAGTTTTTTTTTTCTTTTATGATCCGAATTTGTTATGTTAGAATAACTATATTAAATTTATTTTGCTTGATAGGATTTTATATGGGAGACCAAGACAAGTCAGCATGTAAGTAAGAAGTGGAAAGAAAATGATACATACATTAAAATGACTTCAACTTTATACATTTTGCAGAGAACTGTTGCATAGACAACCTTAATTAGAACATATGTCATAATTCTAAACCCAACAAGACCTGGCTCTTCCTATAAATCAACCGTCTGGTGAAGGAACCAATAGGCATATGGTAACTCTAGAGGTGCTGTAAAGAAAAATGTACCATTTAAGGAGTGTATTGAGTGATAAGAGGAAAGCAGTTGTTAAAAACAGCTAGAAGTCATTTTTGCATTTTGCTTAAAGTAATGTAGGGAAAAACGCTGTAATAGCGTTACTTATTTAGCAGTTAGTTGCCAACAGTATAAAATATCACTGAGAATTAAACAATTTGTCCCAAGTTGTTGGTCACACTAATGCGGATGTTTGTGATTGGCAACACACAAAACTACAGTTGAACTCCATTTTAACTTGCTCACATTTTCCAAACTCAAAGTCATGTTTCAATCGTTTCAGACAACATAGGATTGACTGAAAGCATTTTTCAGGAAAATTCTTTCATATTTTATTGTAAACTGCTGTAAGCTCAGGACTTGTCTTAATCTGAAAACTGAAACTAACGTGGAGATTCATTGCAGTTGAGTTTTGAGGTTGAGAGATTTTCATCTGCTTAGAACAACTTATGCAAGCAAACTTGCACAAAAGCTCACACATGAAGTCTCAGTTTTGCCTGTTCTTCTGCCGCACAGGGAGTGAAGGTGGTTCTGACTCTGAGGGCAATGCCTTTACCAGATACCCCCCATTCCAATCCCTCTGTTTATTACGTCTTCCTCCTGCTGTACTTTGGGAGGACAAAGGCATTCCCTGAATATTCACAGCCCCTATCACCTCTCCTTCTCAGTTTTATTTAATTGTTTACCAAAGCAGTTTTATTTTAAGCTGGAACATTCTTTACAGAGCATTTCCCTGTGTTTGACTCTGGCCTCTTGTGGTCCTTAAAAGTGATTGATGCTGGTGGACTGGGACGCACACCACGGGAGGAGGGTGGGAGTGCCTGGGGGACACAAGCTTTCTTCCGTCACCTCCCTGTGCTGGATGCAAGGGGGCAAGACAGGGGTCTAAAGGGCGGCCATCTTTTTCCCAAGCCTCAAGCTTGGTCCCAGGAGAGATGGTAGTGAGGGAGGTGGGGTCCAGGGAAGGAGCTGGGGCTAAGTAAGCAGATGTGTGAGTGTGTGTGTATGCATATTTGTGCTTGTATGAGAGGGAGTGAGGATTTTGATGGGATTTGCTGATGTTTGTTGCCAGTAATACACTCCTTTGGAGCCTTTGCTTCATTCCTCCCAGTGCTAAACTGTTGACGTAAACATTGCTGCTGAGTGGAAAAAAAATGACCGAGTGTTGACCTTTTTCGCTGTTGTCAGCCTCTTGAATCAAAGCACACCACATTTTCACCATTTTTAGACACCTGGAGATGCTGAAGCCGTGTAGGTCCTCGCAGTGGTGTCATAAAGAGTTGCTGAGGTTTCTGTGCTACAGGCAAATGCCGTTATGAGTTGTTACTAACCTCAAAAGCAGCAAGGAACCTCTGACACAGTCTCCAAATGCTGAGCCGTTGCTTTGACTCATTTCTTTCTCTCTTGAAAGAAAATGCACTTGCTTTTTCCAAATCAGGTTTTTATAAGTATTCATACGCATTTAACTTTTTGAAGGTATGTCATCTTGCAACCACAGACTACAATGCAATTTATCACAACTTGAAGAACTGTTCTCAAAAGTAAGAAAAAAAGTCAAATTAAATGTTGCAATGCTCTATTCGAAGCCTTAAAATTATTTTATCTAAATAACTTCTCTGCACCTCTAAGTTTAGGATTGATTTATTGCTGAGGGTTGCAGTGGCCTCTCATTTTTTTCATCTTTGAGCAGTGTCAGTATGCCATTGAAGATAAGCATTCCTACCCTCAGATACTGTCATCATTCACTATCATTGTGCTCAGGGTGAAGTTCAACTTTATCTAAAAGATCAACTTAGTCTCGTCTAAGCGAGGACCTTATTCCAGGACTATAAGCTGAGTTGTCGACGTTTACTCCAGGCCAAGATGTTGATGATTTCAGCTCCTCCAGAGTAATGTCATTTTTGCTGATCAACTATATTATGTGACTAATCATACTAGGTTTCATACACAGGTTGAAACACATGTATCTTGTTACGCAGAACTAAAATGCATGAGTCAAAATATGTTTTCTGTTCTTACACTTCAATTATCTGATATTGTACTGACCAATCATATAACATTTAATAAAACACATTTACATTTATAATTACTCTAGAAAAAAATTGCAAAAAGTACAAAAGTTACTATTACAAGACATTGCAAAGGAGGCCAGAGATTTCCAAGATCACTGTTAAAGAAAAACACTCATAATGTATAGGTGTTCTGTTTATATAGTTACTGGATGTAACTGAGAGAAGTGCTGTATGTTCTTTTTAATCAAACGCATACAGCAAATGAAATGTATAGAAATATCTAGTTGTCTGTCTGTCTATGTATATATATATATAATTAATATAAATAATTATTTAAATAATTTAAGTTATGCAAAAATATCATGCAGTTATTTTCTACTGTTAATACCAGCACTTTTTTGTTTTATTTTATTTTAATTTACCTTTAGTGACAAAATCTGTATAATTGTATATCGGTTTAGCCGTCAGCAAACATGCCTTAGAATCACAATTTTATTTCAAGGTTTTACTGAAGAATTTTAGTTGAAGAGTTAAATATTTTTGAAGTAAAGTTATTCTTTTTCATTGCTAATAGATTGAGTGTTTGTAAAATGAAATTTGACAGTGTGAGAAAGAAACAGTTCAGAGCAGATGTGAGGCGTGGATGTTGGAAGTTGGTTTAAAAAAAGGGAAAAAAAAACAGTGTTTGGCCCTGAGCCCAATGTCACACACACTCCTTCCTGATGACAGCCATGCGATGGTGATGTTTACACTGAAACAGCCTCACTTTTAAACCGCCCCACACTCACACTAAGGGGATCTGTTTTAAACTCTAGCTTTGGAAATTATCTGTATGTGTGAGTTTGGGAAAAAATAAAAAAAAAAGGAAAAGAAAGAACGATTAAGAGCATTTGTCTGCGCAGTTTCATTTAAAACCCAGGCTCAGATTTATCCTACATGCACGTGCACAACACTCTAACATCCTGCAGTGATGCACGCTACACATATCCATTCATTAAATTCACACCCTGCACTCTGGTGACTATTGTGTTACAGCATCCTTCCATTCAGTGAATGTAACACACACACACATGCACACACCGATAGGACACTCATCCACTCCCAGGCACTTGTGAGTTCAGTGTACATTTAAACATGCACTCAGATTTAGTGCATGGAGCCACAGCTGTGATTTGGCACTCAGGGACCATTGGCCTGCGTTTTATTTGATGTGATTTGACAGCTGGACAGTTGGAAGAGGAGGGGAGTAGAGGGGGTTCGAGCAAAAGGAAGAGGGAGGAATACAGTTATAAGAGAGAGGACGGATAAGGAAATGGGATAAGATACAGGACTGCAACTGTAATAGTGGGAGGAGAGGAGATGAAGAGGAGGATCCAAGATGTGGAGCTCTGGGTTGTTTGGTGTTGATGGTGATGGTGGGGAGAGGAGAGGAGAAGAGGGAAAGGGGGAGGGAAGGGGGGCTTCGCCTCTGATGAGGGGCACGTCCTCACGGGCGCAGGCCCATTTTTTATTTCTAAAAGTAAACAGGCGGCCTGCTGGGGTCCGGGGGGTTATGGGAAAGGAGGAAACAGTGATGCTAATCAGACCAGCGCACACTTCCCCCTCTAACAATATAACAAAACAAGAGTGGAAACACGGAAAACCAGCAGACAATTGTGGAGGAACGGGCTGCATAGTTGCCTTGGTCCTATATTTGAACTCACACAGTATGATGTAAACAGCATGGATAGTCAATTAACAAAGGAAAGAGACAATCTACTTCTAGCAGCTGGAACATTTGTACAATTTAGTTTTAGGCTTTGCTGAATGAGGAGGGAAGGTACATTTGGTAAAATGGTATTTCTCTGGATCTTTATCCTTCTAAAAACACAGCCTTTCAATGGAGGCTTTTGCTCAGCTTCCTTTTACAAGCCATCTATTCTGATTTACTTAATACTGAGCTGTGACATACTCATGTCAAGCTTTTATTTATTCATTTATTTATTTATTTATTGGTGTAATTTGGTACTGTGTTAGCCATGAACCTAAAACCTAAAAAGGATAAAGCACATCTTTAAGACTGATCTACTTTAAACGTGGTTAATTAAAGATAGTAATGTAAGGCATTTCAGCCAGCTAATAATTTGAGAAAAATCTACTCTAAGATGTTCTAATCTCAAGAGAAACTGGATAGGATGAGATGAGGAAGTTGTTTTGGTAAAATAAAAAATATATTTTTTCCCCCCTTTATTTTCCATAAGAGAAAAATCACTGATTCTATTTGAAATATTATGTGATTAGTTCTGTAGCTCATAAAATGAAGTTTTTACTATTATGTAAACATAAGGAGGTCCAAAAGATGATTAAACCTTTTCTATTTGTTATTTACACAAATAAAGTTGTTTTCAAACATCTTAAGCCATATTTTAGGCCTATTTTTCTCAATATATAATTGTCTGCTGCACTTTAGGTTTAATCAGCCTTAGTATTAGATATTATTTACCAAAGACATTGCAGTAA